CTCTTTTCTCTTTTCTCTTTTCTCTTTTCTCTTTTCTTTTCTTTTCTTTTCTTTTCTTTTTTTTTTCTTTTCTTTTCTTTTCTTCTTTTCTCTTTTTTTTCTCTGATGGATGAGTATAGGACTAAAATCTCATCTGAGAACCTCTTTTTCTTCTTGCATTTCAGAAATTCTTTCTTTACTGGATTTGATCTTCAAGGACTTTGAATTTGATCTATCTTGTGGTATCTTGATATTTCTCACTTTATTTCACCATGATTCACTTTTGTAGCGAAATCTGGATTGATTATCTTCACTCATGCCCCCCAGCGTGGAGGGTGATCCTTGGTTAGGGTTGAATCATAAGAAAAAATTATTTTATACACAGAAGTCTTTGTAAAAAGAGGTATCCCCAGGGGGATGAATATTCAGGATTAACTTTATTTACATGAAAACAATGTAATTAATGCATGACATAATTATTTAAATCAATCCCTCTTTTTTTTTCTTCTTCTTGCTTTGAGTATGCCCCAATCACTCGAAATTCTCTTCGACATGTTGATCCATGATGCCTCATCTTGTCTCTTATTGTAAAAAGATTCACGGATAATTGAAAGTTTGGTTCTTTTGAGGTTTTGGTTTTACCAGTATGATGAGTTTGTATCTGGAAGGATAAATGTATGACTTTTGAAGTCGTGTATATAATGGAATGTTATAAACTAATCAACTCTACCCAAAAAGGTAAAGATCTGGATTTGGTGTCTCAAAAACAGGTAGACACATTATTTCAGAGTCTCAGATAAATGTAGTGTCAGTATTTGGTTTTTGTAAGGATCAAGTAATTGGCGTTGGATGGGATATGGTAGGTATAATTTTGTCACTTGCCAAAGATATATGACTCTTGAAAATTAAAAGAATATTTAATTTACTTGATACTCAAAAACTTCAAGATTAAAATTTGATTCCTAGCTCATAACCATAAAAGCAACACAAATTTATTCATACAACCTTACAAAAAGGCTTAGAAAATACAAAAAAAAACATATTCAAACAAGATGCTGAAAATGAAAAGTACAACTGTGGTATATAACAACCTCCACTTATTTATCTAGCATGCCCCATTACTCCTAGAATATGGGGTGTATAATTGGACCAGAGACTTTTTCCTGAGTATGATATGGATGCTTATAGTGGTCTAGTATTCTTCCAAAAAAACAAAAAAAAACCTTTTAATAAATATGGATATTTTATTAATGAATATGATAAATATGACTAAAATGCAATGTAAAAAATCATATGCATATGTAAGATGCAAAATGCAAGGTGTTGATATTGAAATGATTCCTTAGAACAACTTTTATAGTAAAACGAAGTTTTAAACATATTACATATACATCTGCATTGTTTTCTACTTCATGTAGGACTCTACGTTCCATATTTCTAGCCTTCTATATGAACATCAATCATGAATCAACACCATGGTATGAAAAATGTAATGAATGATGAAAATGATAAAAAATAAACAAAGGAAAATTAGGTAGTAATATCATAAAAATCCTAACCTCATGCAATCTATTTTCATGCTTTATTTGGAGAAATAAATCTAACCGTATGATTTCTAATTCGCATGCATTTATTAGGAAAATAAAGTAAATTAAGACTCAAAATGATTTTCCTTGTGTGCTAACCTTACGGGATTCTCTTGGGTTAGGCTCTGACTAGATTCGAGTTCTAGGTTTATTATATTTTGGGTTTGGATCTAAGGTAAAAGGGTCATCGAATTGTCCTTTTTTGGTGCCCCCTTAGACTACCAAGCCCTCAATCCTGGTCCATCACAGACTTTCAAATTGAGTTCAATTCGAAGGAACACACTTTCTTATGTCCATACGAAGGTGAAAACCACACGAGGAACATAAGGTGTGAGCTCAAGGAATGGTCCCCTATCCCATACGGAGGTTAAAACCACACGAGGGAGTAGTTTCTCATTCAAGCTAAATAGGATAAGAGCTCATGTCATGATAATGCAGTGCACAGTGTGTGATGAAAAGCATAAAGAAAAACAATGTATAACACAGAAATTTATTCTTTAAATCTAAAGACATATAATTAAACCTGAAAATATTAGCAAACAAGTTAGTACAACTATTTATACATAAAATGGTTATTAAAATAATCAAGTAATTAAAACAAATTTATAATTTTTATTGCAAAGATAATTAATTAATAAACAGGTTTGTTTGATGCTCGTTTGGTGTTGCTTGCTCTCTTCCCGTTCTTGTCGTTGTCCTCCTTTTTTTTTGTAGGTTTTCAAGGCTTTTTATAGGCCTCGGAAAGCTTCAAACAACCGTTCATTTTGGTGAGTCACCGGATCTACAATGGTGACTCACCATAGGGAGCGAGGTGTGCGGCTCTCCTGTATCTTCTGGAGTCTTCTATGCGGCGATGACGTCATGGCGACGACAAGTTGGAGAAGATGTGGAAACCCTAGAAGTATCTGAATCGGGTCTTGGGCCGGGTCTGGGTCTGGATCTGGGCCTCCGATTTTGTAAATGGGATCCCAATTTATTTTGTAATAATAATAATAATAATAATAATAATATGATAGTCTCGGACAAAAATGACTGTCGACAGCGTTATCAATGATTAATTTTTTTACAAATACTAAATTATAATCACTTAACTATTAAAAATATTAGAATAATATTTATTATCATTTAAGAAAACTTTTTTATAAATTAATGTCATTATATTTCTTAAAATTAATTCAATTAAAGATCCTATATAATATTATATACAGAGATCTTTTGGGACGAGGAAATGGCAGAAGGGGATGGTTGGTGGTGGATGAACCTCAATACAATAATTTCCAAACCTTTTGCGTAAATTAAAAATAAATGAATAAAGGAGCAAGGACAAGTACCCGTGAACTGAAAAAACAAAACTTGCACTAATAAATCAACATTCTTGTTTTGTAATTATTGAAAAATGTTGATTTATACGTTACTCCATACAAATATAATATAAATGTATATACCAAAAATATGAATTATAATATCAATTAACTGTATTAAATTTCATATAATTACATTATTAAAATATTAAATATATATATATATATATATATATATAATATCAAATACTTTAAATTTCATCACTATATAACGAAATAAACAAATATAACACATGCTAAGTTATCTGGAATCTATAATCTATATAAAAATACGGGTTTAAAAAATTGAATTATAAAGGTATCTAATATTTTTAATATATTATAATATTAAAATTTCAATAATATTTTATTTCGTTATTAAATTTTGAAAAATAAAATAATTTATTACATTACGTTTTGTATTCTTATAAATCTGGAAATAAGATATTTAATATTAGTTACGGAAAATTAAACCGGGATAACAAAATTCAGTTTGAAATTATTATTTTTAGTTTGAATATCTTAATATTTATAATAATTTTTAAATTTCTGATTTATTTTTTAATTATGATGTTATCGGAGTAAGTGACGATATTCAATGTCTTTTTGATTTAGTTGCAGATTTTTTTTACTGTAAGAATCAAATCAAAAAGAAATTAATAGTACAAGATAAAAATGAAAATTTAAAAAAAAAATTATAGTAAAATTACATGTGTTAAGTAGTTATAAATAATGATATATTTGTGTAGAAAATTTGAATTTTAAGTCTGACATATTAAAAATAACAGAATCAAAGTTCTAAAATTATATCAACAATCAGTTGATCTAATGAGATAAGACACTAGGTCCCTTAAGAAGGTTAGAGATTCGAATCATGAAGTTTACGAATTTAGCAAAACTAGGTTGTGAGGGTCGCTATCACCTCTGCAGTACGCGATCTAGATTAATCGATTGATATGTAATTCAAAAAAAATTCTAAAATTATCAATAAAAAAATAAAAACTAAAAGTTAAAAATAAATGATTTTTTTACAAAGTGCGTGACAAGACATCTTGCTTGTGCGTAAACCTTGAAAGATTACATGAATTCAATATATATATATATATATCTCAACTAACACTGAGCAAAAATTATAACCTTTCAAAATTTTACACTATATTTATAGTTCAAACGCCCATATTTAATTTTCCCTCGATAAACTCGCTGGTTTCTTTTAAAGAGATAATTTAAAAATATATATAATTTAACATTATACTTTTATTTTCATTCATTTTAACCTTAAAATTATAAAGAAAAAAGTAATATGCTGCAGCTGTCGGGGATTAAGCTGATTTCTGTGTAAATCATCCTATTTCTCTAATTAATCTAGAGAATATCCTATTTCCTCAATTAATATTTTCACCATTTCCCCTTATTTAACCCGAATATTCAAAAATGTTAGAAGTGAGTCGAAAAATAAAATAAAAATACAAATTTTAAATGTAATCGATGTAGAAATCAAGAAGAAAAAAAAGAGATGGTCATTCTCCATCATGTATAAATTTAGATTATTCTATTTTAAAAAAATAAAAATGAGAGGGAAAATATGAATTGATTTGAAAAATATAGTTTTCAAATTTTCAATTTTTAATTTTACAAAGTAATAAATAAACTTTCTTACAACTTTTTCTTCCTTTTACCTAGGGCTGGCAATGGATCAAAGATAGGTAGGGTGAAGCTTCATCCGTCTCATCACCCGCGGTTCAAATCTCCATCCACACTATGCATCACCCACCAAAAATTTCATCCATATCTGCTCCATCCATCATCCTCGGGTGGAGCGAGTAGAGCAGATGAGAAATGGATGATACTATAAATAGGGGTGTAAACGAGCCGAGTCGAACTCTAGTATTGCTGAGCTCGACTTGAACTCGAAAACTATAAAAGTAAGCTCAACTCGACTCGAAAACTTGTAAGCTAAAATTATCAAGCTCAGCTCGAACTCAAAATATATTATTAAAACTCGACTCGAACTCGAAAAGGCTCGAATTAAAAAAAATTTAAGAACTCGATTAAAACTTTAGACTCGAGCTCAATTAAACTCGAGTTTGAACTCTATTCAAACTCGAATTTGAGCTCGATTCAAACTCGAATTTGAGATCGATCCTCCCCTGAAGAAAGCTACTATGAAAGGTTCTCACCCTCAATAAATAAATTTAATATCGTATAAGCCATTAGCCTACGTATGAGATACTAAACTAATAAACATATACTATACGGTACTTGATCTTAGCCAAAAGACTTTTTGTTTCTAACGGAGAAATAAAACAGAAACAAGACCCTACCTGCAAAACAATGGTTTGTTGAAAGTATATGGATGATTCTAAATAATCCATATATATATATATATATATATATATATATGGATAGATCGATATATTAGTGGGTGGATGGATGATGCGGGTGATGGGTCAAAAAAATTCATCCATATCCGACCCGACCCATCACCTGACCCATCTATTACCCGTCAATCATCCGTTTCACAATAAATTTTCATCCATTTATTCGAGTCGAGTGGGTGGATAATCCACTCACCCATAGATAATTACCAGCCCTACTTCTACGTAATATATCAATAAAAATATTATTTTTTATTTACTTCTCTATCCTGCAAATTTTCTTTCTCACGTCACCCAACCAAACTTGAAATACGAAAACGTCATTAAAATATCATTTACTATGAATCTTGAATTAAAAATATTTGGCTTAAATGCATTATAGGCCCTTGAACTTTCGGAAAAAACCAATGTAGCTCCTATCATTTTTTTTGGATGATTGTGATCCTCAAACTCGATAAAAGAAATCAATCTAGCCTTTTGACTAATGGTATCCGTTGTTGACCAATGTATGTGGCATGTTATCATGTCCAGCTGCCTTAGTTTGTTATTGATTGCGCGCTGAATGGATTTAAAATGCTGATGTGGAAAGTAATAATTAAAAAATGTAAAAAATATTTTTATTTTGGACTGAATCATTAAAATTATACTTAACCTTCACGTTATTCATCGTATCTGAAAAACTGGAGTTCAAAAGATTCTTTGAATAAAAAAACCCCAAACTCATTGAATATAATCGTCACAAATATCTTTGAATCAAACCGAAAAAATCCAAAGAAATGAATCGTGAGATAAACGTCTTCAAAAATTGAATCTTGCATTTTGTTCTTCGAAAATTAAACCGTCCATCAAAAAACTTTCTCATCCCCGAAAAAATCATCATCCTTTGAGTCAAGAAAACCTAATCTAAGAAATCATTTTGTGCAAACTCTGAAAACCCATATCTTTCGCAAACTCTAAAAAAGCATGCATGACTCATTCGCAAACTCTGGAAACCTAGAATCGAGACCCATTTTGAGGACCATTTGCAAACTGAAAATATTATAGAGGACCATTGTAGTAGAAATCTGTAAGAATCCTTATTTACTTTAAGTATTTGATTGTGAAAATCATTTTTTTACTGTTTTGTTTAACTTTCTTCTTTTATTCTTGTTCTAACATGTGAGCGTTGTTTGAAGGGTACAAGGTAAAAAAGGGTGAGATATTATTTAACTTTGAAAACCTTTTTTTATTCTTGTTTTACTGTTTACCATAATTTGTTTGGCATGTTGTGTTTACCATTATTCGGATTCTGTTTGGCATAAATTTATTGATGTTTGACTTAGTTTTCTGGTTCTTTAATAGCATGTTGTGTTTGACTTAGATTTTGCCATTATTATGATTCTTGGTTTTACATAGTTTTCTGGTTTTGTAATAACATGTTTGTGTAATGTGCCATGGAATTCTGTGTGGCATGTGGGAGTTTAATGTAATTCAGGATGGCATGTGGTGTATATGATGCACGTACATTTATATTTTCTTTATAATTTTGTCTGTTAGCACGTGGTTCATGCGGATTCTTTTTCTTTATAGTTTTGTTTGTTAGCACGTGTAATTGCTTTAAAGTTTTTTTTGCCTTTTATACATGTCATATGATAATGGCTAATGCTATCTTTTTTTATTGGTGATGTAGTACTATGGCTAGTGATATTTATATGCTGTAATATTTTCATAGTGATAGATTTAATACAAGTTCGAGGTTTGAATATGTAAATGGAGCAACTAAAAAATTTCAAGTTGATCCAAATGTGTTATGCATGTGAGATATACTAGGGAATTTGGAACTTTTGGAATATGGATTGCAAAAATTTATGTACTATAGGGTACCTAATGATAAGTATGATTGTGATATTTTGGTGCTGATTTACAATGATGATACAGTTAGACATGTGATGAATTTATTTCTCAAGAATGATATTGTTGATATCTATGTAGACTATAAAATTGATATGGATGAAGAAGTTACTGAGGTTGTTGATGATGTTAATAAGGTTGTTGAGGGATGAGATTAATTTGGGAAAAGATGTTACTAAAATTAGTGCAGATGGATTAGAGATAAATAAAGTACTTTTTGGGTCTGCTACTGTAGACAGTCTTACTGGTGAAGACAAAATAGAGGAAAACGAGCCTGCTAATGTAGATGGACTGTTGGTGAAGTTGAGTTAAAGGCAAATAGAGTGTCTGGGCTTTATGCTATTGTAAACGAGCATGATGGTGAAGATGAGTTTAAATCTGTTGTTAGTGAAGAAGTTGAAATTACTGTAGAGGATGTTGAATTAGGGTGTAACACCCCCAACCTGGACCCGACCTTGATCTAAGTCCGAGATGTCACATTGACTTTTCAAACATTTTTCTTTTCAAAATATCGAAAAGTTTAAATTCACCATCTAAAAAAATGAATACTTTACATTAATCAAAATCAATTGGTTTACAAACATATCAGAGCATATTTAACTCAGATCTATTAATACATGTCAACTACATTTAATATAACAACATACATATGATTCAAAATTCTTTTCTGATCTAAAATTCGTAAAGGAGAGGTTGATCTGTCTTGCTCCTCTTAGCTTCTCTTCTTGCTTCCTGGAACCTACGTGTGAACCACTCACACGCTAAGTTGATGACTTAGTGAGGAATAAATAAACTTACTATAGCATATCATTATTAATTCCTACTATGCACATACCATATATTCATATGCAACTATAACACAAATTATGCATCAACATAAATACATACATATACATATACATATAATTTCATTATTTTTATTACTATTCTTATCCTCAATAACATTATTTCATTATTAATTCTTAGTCATATGCTTTTGTATCTAACATTCTTAACCAAACCATATATATATCATCACATCACCTATATCATTCCACAATAAAACAAACATATAATCATACCAAACTTATTTATGTTATCTTTTTAATTAGTCCATGTACACCTGTGAGAACTAAAGATATGTGAGTATATTGAGGTTGTGCACTTATGTTGTCACCACAGATCGTATAATTCCCACTGAATGGCATGTGAAATCTATGCCCCGAAGGACCCATACATATATCCCGAAGGACATAGGTAAACCTGTCCATATGTTCCGAAGGACATAGGTAACCCTTGACTCTTGGTATGCCAACTATACCTCTAGCTCTCATTTCACATAACATGGGCATTCTCTTTCATATAAGTTCCTATATTCATATAGACATATGATTCACTTTCACATATCACATATACTTTCTCTTTTATATATCTCATTTCATGAATCATATCTTGTGATTATGTAAGCACATTACTTATTTTCATATAGTTCATATCATTTCATTCATAATCACATCATTCAATTATATCATACCAACATACATTCACATAACTTCCTTTAACATACTTAATATATCATGTAACTCATCTGACTCAATCTCATTTCACATGTAGTTTCCTAACTTATCCCTGTATAGATTATATAACATAAACAAGTAATCTCATATGTCCTATAAGTAAATACTATCTATCTTGTCTCACTTTTCCATTTACTCACATAAATCATTTATACTAGTTCACATGGTTTATTACACTATCCTGAATTTATACCGATCATGTAACCTAAACCCTCACATATAATTTATATCACTTATTTCACATTATTTATATACTAAGTTAATCTATTTATTTAGTTCAGTTTCACATGACTCTTATATCATAGTTTCTTTTAAGTATATAAATCTTCCCTATGTCACTTATCTTATAGGTTCGTATCATCTATTATGCTCAAGTTTCCTCATTAATATACTATTCTCAGATCATCCTATAGTTTAATCTTATTTAACTTATCTCACTTCTCATTTAGTTATATAATTCTATTATACTGGTTCATATAATTGATCACATCACTATAAACTTGCCCAACTCATGTTCCTGTTGTTTATATAGTTTTTACACATGTTTACCTAGCTCATAATCACATACTTTATCTCATAGTCATGTATTCTGTAAAACCCCCAACTCGTCCCCGACCCGGATATGAGTCTGAGATGTCACATTGACTTTTTAAAGCAATATTCTTACAAAAACAAAATGTTTCGACTTATATTAAGAAAATACGATAATATACCGTTGAATTATGTTCATTATAACAATTTAAGGAAAAATACATTTTTATGTACAGTAATATACTGTATGAACAATACCGTGAACAGTAATGAATAGTAATATGAACTGTGCTACAGTGTATCGATGCACTGCTACAGTGTAACGATGCACAAAAACATCTAATATAAATTGTGTATCGATGCACTGCTACAGTGTACCAATGCACTGCTACAGTGTACCAATGCACTGCTACAATAACTTTCGGTAAAACATATAAAACTCATAAAAATTTAACCGTTCATCACTATACTGTACCATTTACATAAATACGTTTAAAACATTTCCAAACTCAATCAGAGCATAAATACTTAATTTAAAAACTTTGTTTACATCCCAACCTATTTATTACATAACAATACATACTGTATAATTTACTTCTGATCTGATCTTTGAGCGGAGATATGTTGTTTCTTTTAACTTAGCTTTGATCCTCCTGCTTCTCAGTACTTACGTGTAAATCACTTACACGCTAAGTCATAGACTTAGTGAGGCATAAAATATAATAATAATAATAATAATGCATTTTCTATAAATATAAACATATAATCAAATCATTCAATCATGTCACATGTACTTCAATGTAAAGAGTAATAACATGATAACAAATAACAATAACAACACTTTTAATACATGTTATAAGCCTATGTACATTATTGAGAACTTAAGGTATCCGAGTACATTGAGGTTGTGCACTGTTTTGATGTCACCACAGC